ATTATATCTACCAATTTTGTGTCTCACGGCAAATACAATTACTTATTTCTAAGTTATAATTCTATACTTGTTGTCCCTAAAGAATATATTTGGCATTTTCACTTACAAAGCCTAATATGATATTGGTGTTTATATTATTTATGTAGTTAGTCGGGTCTTAACACGAATAGTTTGAAGATATAGAACTAGACTATGTTTTAAGGAAAGTTTGACGTATTAGGTACATTAACAGATCATAAGTAAAGAACAAAACAGCAAAGCCTTTTGACTTTTAGATTTCTCAGTTCGTGCAAAACTCATCTCACTCCGAGATTCGTAGACTTCGTAAATTTTATATATCATAAGATTCTGTAATAGTCCTCCTATAGAGTCCTCTCCTTTCGTACATATCATCGTTAGCACAATCCACCAAATCTTTTTTTCGAATGAAGATCTAAATCTAAAATCGAAGTTCTAAATTCTAAATAGCTTTATTAATGTCACTTACATTAATAAAGCTATTTAGAATTTAGAACTTCGATGATTGTAAAGACAAAGGATGCCAAAAAAAGATTTGGTGGATTGTTCGAACGATGATAGATATGAAACGAGAGTAAGCTCAAATATAACGGCTGATAGGGATCAGTGGAAGAAAATGATATGATATAACTGTTCCAACCCTAAATAATGGAATGAAGGCAAGAAATCGCTGGTCTTACAGCTTCATCCATCGATAGGTGGCGAGTATAGATGGCACTCCAAACGCGGTAGGACTTATGGAGCAGCTGTGGCGAAAAATCACCCCAAATTTGAAGAATAAGTAACTTATATACACCACATTTGATTTATTACTTGAATAGTAGATCATACGTATATTTAACTTATAGCTCTTATTTGATTATTATAAATAGACGATGTTTCGAAACTCGAAAACTGTTTCATTGGTTTAGTATAAAAATATTCGTATTCGTATTAATACCCACTTAACCATTATATATACTATATATGTGAAATTAATTTATAATATCATTATGATTATATATATTTATATTTAATTATACAAAAAAAAAATCAATCAAAAAAATCATCATCAATCAATCCAACGCGGCCGTCGAGACGGTGTACCCAAGATAATGGCAGCGTTGCCTCTTTGAATAGTCATAATAATATATTTACTCTTTATATATATATAATTATATTTACTCTTCTCTTCTATTCTATACTATACTTATCTTCTGGGCAAAATAGCTACCACTCTCTCGCTCTCAGGTCACAAGTAATCTCATTCATCATCTGCTTCTTCCTTATCCTATTTATTTGGGGTCGGCGTAATCTCACAAGTAATCTCATTGACCCGCGTTTAAATATACGTCAAAAAAGTATGATAAAATGCAGGGATGTTAGGGAGCTCCGTAACCGTAACCGAAACAATCGGATATCCGATATAAAAAAATATTCATAACCGTAACTGAATCTGAAATAAAAGTTTCGGATATCGGATAGGGACGGAACCTAATTGAGACACGTTATGCAACCATTTTATTAGCTATTTGTAATTTACTTTTGAAATTCCTTAAAAATTAATATCTGTAACCGAATCTATTGAGTGTTGTACAGAAATCTCATGTATAGAACTAGATAATTATATACTTATATGTGTTTATAGGCCTCCTAATAGTGATTATAATGTATTTGAAGAGGTGATGGAGGATATATTAAAAAAAGTATTTAATAGCAGTAAAAAAATCATTGTGTGTGGTGATTTTAACGTTGATATTCTTTGTGATACACCCACATGTACAAAAATTATTAGTTTATTTCAGTCTTTTAATTTGAGTAATGTCTTTCAGGAACCCACTCGTGTAACCGCTACGACTGCTACTTGTCTTGACAATGTTTTTTGTAACTGTGAGTATATTGAAAAATTAATAATAAATAAACTTCCTTCGGATCACTGTGGTCAAGTTGTTAAGTTTAGTAATCAGACTAAAAAAAATACCAATAATAAAAGATCAAAAAGACAAATAAATGCTTACAATATTAATAAATACAAAAGCACGGTAAAATATAAATTAGACTTAGAGTTACAATCTGTCAGTCTTAATAATCCTGATATTCTTTACACCAAGTTAATTAGTCTTTTGTCAAAAGAATACCAGAATATTTTCAAGAAAAGAGAATATTGTGTTAAATCTAAATTTACAGAATGGGCAACAGTAGGAATACTTAAAAGTAGAAACATTTTATTTGATTTATATGATCAAAAAAAATATAGATTTGATGACAAATTTACGACTTATGTGAGAAATTACTCTAAAATTTTCAAACAAGTTTGTATTGCAGCTAAATCTAATTTTATAAATAAACAAATTAATCAGTCCTCTGACAAAATTAAGACCATCTGGGGAATTATAAACAAAGAAACTGGACGGTCTGAAAAAGCCTGCAATCAATTCTCATTAAATTATGACAATAAGTTAATAACAGCAACAAAAGATATAGTTCATATTTTTCAAGATTTTTTTGCTAATATTCCGATTGATATTACATCTTCTCTAGACTCATCTCCAATTCGAGCAAAAACATTACTGGAGGCTAATGTCAGCCCTTGCTCTTTAACATTTAAATTTTCACATGTCAGCCCTTTTCATGTCATAAAAATATTCAAACAGTTAAATTTAAAAAATACGGAAGATCTCTGGGACATGTCAGTTAAAGTAGTTAGTTCATTCATAGATATTGTTGCTCCTTATCTAGCTACTATTTTCAATAAATGTGTTGATAATGGCGTGTTTCCTCAATTAATGAAATTTAGCAAATTTATTCCACTCTTTAAATCTGGAGATAGATTTGAGCTAGGCAACTATAGACCAATTTCTATTTTGCCAGTTCTAAGTAAAGTATTTGAAAAGATTATGTTTAACCAAATGTTAAAATACTTCAGGGATAACGGACTGCTTCACAGTCAGCAATATGGTTTCACTGCCGGCAAGTCTACTACTGATGCAGGTGTAGCGCTTATTACACATATATTCGAATCATGGGAAAACTCACAGGATGCTCTCGGCGTTTTTTGTGACTTGTCGAAGGCGTTTGATTGCGTAGATCATGAAACACTTTTGTACAAGCTCAAATATTATGGTATTAGAGATAATGACCTAAGTCTAATGAAAAGTTATCTAGAGGATAGGGTGCAAACTGTAGATATTGATGGTGTAAAGTCTAAGGGAACTAATATAAAAATGGGCGTTCCTCAAGGTTCAATATTAGGCCCATTTCTCTTTTTAATTTATATAAATGACCTTCCCTACATGGTAGAGAAAGTTGCAGATATAGTGTTATTTGCGGATGATACTTCGTTAGTGTTTAAAATTGGTCGCCAATGTAATCAATTTGACGATGTAAATTATGCTATCTCTGCTATACTAAATTGGTTCACATGTAATAATCTATTATTGAACTCCAACAAAACTAAGTGCATTAAATTCACGCTGCCTAATGTAAAACAAGTAAATACGCAGCTATTGCTTAATGATGAAATAGTAAATTTTGTTAATGATACAGTTTTTTTAGGAATAACAGTGGACTCGAAGTTACAATGGGGGCCCCATATTTCAAAATTAGCCAGTAGACTTAGTTCTGCTGCTTATGCAATTAGAAGGATAAGGCAATTAACAGACGTGGCGACGGCAAAACTTGTATATTTTAGTTATTTCCATAGCATTATGTCATATGGCATACTGCTATGGGGTAAAGCTGCCGATATAAATACTATATTTATTTTACAAAAGAGAGCCATACGTTCTATTTATGGTATGGGTTCTAGAGAGTCATTACGTCAATGCTTTAAACAATCAAATATCCTCACCGTTGCCTCACAGTACATTTATGAAAATATTATGTATACAAGGAAAAACTTAGATAGTTTCAAGAAACTTAAAGACTGTACAAGTAGAAACTTACGCAATAAAAATAAGCTAATTTTACCTAAATGCCGTCTACACAAAGTTAGTAATTCATTTTATGGTAATTGCGTAAGATTCTATAATAAACTGCCAGAGTCTACGCTAAATCTTACAGAGAGGCAATTCAAATCTTATATTAAACAAATGTTATGTAAAAAAGCCTATTATAAGATAGATGAATTTATAGATGATAGCAATATATAGCAAGAATAAGTTTATTTGCGGACAACGTTATAATTTTAATTTTCATACTGCTTTCTATATTTGATATATGATAGCGTAGCGGCTTTTGTATTGATTGCCGCATGCATCCTTATGTAAAGTGCGAATACTGTAACTACCATATAGTAATTTTTGTAGCTGTGACGTGGTCGTGTGGAATGAGTAGTCATGCTCACTAAAATGTCCAGACATGTGGCGGCGTGGTGGGCCGGGTCAATGGGCTCCCTAAAATATGGTCGAGCGCAGTGATGGCTGGCTCATCCGTCATACTCGTGAACGAGTGCTGCTTGTAGGGACTGGTCTGCTCTTATCACTACGACTGATTTAATCTTATTGCATGATTATATTTGACCCAAAAAATTAGTGTTTGTTGGTAGTTTGTATTCACACGTTTCGACTTGTAAATGTAAACTTACAAGGATTATTTAAAAGAGCAACACACAAGTTTCTTGCTCGTTCTTCTTGTGATGAGACAGCTTTCCGAACGAGTGGTAGATAAAAAACAAATTGTTATGACTATTCAAAAGTGCTTAAATTAAGTTTATTTGAATAAATGATTTTCTATTTCTATTTCTATTTCTATTTCTATTTCGAAATTATCCGAAACTAACGGATAATCCGAAATAATTTCACATCCGTATCCGTATCCGTATCCGCTATAATAATCATTCCTATATCCGAAACCTATCCGTATCCGAAATTTCATATCCATAACATCCCCGATAAATTGGATATTAAATTTACTACATATGTATATCGAGTTTTAAAGTTGGTAAAGGTCAACAGCGTTATTGGGCTGCTTAGAAGTGGACGAGCGGCGTACGTTGACTCCGCCGCCCTTCTCCGAGGATCAGACATGCGTGAAACTGGCATGCACAGCATCCTCTTGGGAGATTTGAGTGCCAGCTGCGAAGTACTGAAAATTACAAACAATTCGCATTAACAATACATCATGATGGATGTAAATGTAGAGGAATGTTAGAAAAATATTATTGGATGTGAAAGATTATATGTATAAAAGGAGAGTAAGCTCAAATATAACAGCCGTTCAGGATCGGTGGGAGGAGACGACGTGCTGCGACCCTAATAATGTTATAAAAGCAGGGTAACGATTGTTAATTTTGATTACAAGATTATAATGAAATGGTATATTTAAATTACGATTTAACATAAAATGATGTTACGGTAATTTGTAACGCTGAACACCCTTATTGATAAAAATAGAAATCTCTGAGTAACTTATTTTACGCAATATTTGATACTATTTACAGTGGGTTTTTTATTAGGATAAGGAGACATAATATATTGTTAATTAGAGTAGAACAGGGATTGATATAGTTTCGTTTCCATAGTTCCAATTTACACATCAAAACAATAATTTCACAATGGATTGTATAACCATGATGCCAATAGTGCTTAATACATTAGATAGAATGTTGAAAAATCTACTCTAATATTACAATGAGAGAGTGTGTTTTGCTATGAGGAAAGTTAACTTCGAAGTCATTATATATTTGAGAAATTCTTCCATTATATAAAAAGTAATTTATTTATTAAAGAAATTATAATGTATAGCTTATTACATAAAAATATCATATAGTTATGAGAACCCGAAATTTCGATTCGGAGCGGCCACAAGAAGAACATGCTGGTATCTACATTATCCTTAATGGAATTTAAATTTATGATTATTATTATTAATGCATTTTTAGAGTTATATACAAGCTCATTTGAAAAAAATAAGAGCTAAATTTCTTGTCAGATCTCTTAGCTCGAAAGCTATACAAACTGACAGTAGATTTGACATATCATAACAGCCTGAAATATGTAGGTGACATTAATAAAGATAATTTGTTTTTTAATAAATAAATACTATAATGTTTCTGAATGATTATTACTATTCATCCTCTGAACATATTAAGCACTACTTTGGTTAGGTTTTGTATAATTAATAGTAGGTACAACATGACGAGATAAAAAGGTACAGAAAGAGGTTTCTTTTGGGTACATTTCAACTTACTTCCTATACGTATTGTCTAATATATCTTGCGATGTATATGTCCCAACATTTCCCTTCCGAGGAGAAAGTCATTATACTAAAGATAAAAAAAAAATATTATTATACTTTCCTCATTTATATACCAATGTACCTGCAGCCTAGAATATGACGCTAAATATATACAAACTATATACCATAAATAAATTTAAAACAATAATAATATCTCACGACAATTCACATCGCGCCATCTAGTACCAAACAAATATAATAATAAAAAGATAATAGATACAAATACACAGATACATATTTTTGTAAATGCATACATTATATGCAAACAAAAGATCTGGACCGGTACTAATAATTATACTCATGTTTGTACCGTGTGAGGAATCGAACCCAGAATCGGAAGTATAAGGGTGTGCTAAATCACTAGATCGGTGATCTATTACTAATACATCAAATAAAAAAATGTTATACACACCTATAAGTAGTAAATTATCTAATGTGAAATATATAATATACAATTAAAATATATAATATACATACCAGAGATAGTATGCTATTATTTTTCAATAGCTGAGAAACTATTCATAGTTGCGGATTCGATTCCAATTCAAGAAATGGAAATAGAAATTATCTTGACTTAAATAAACTCGATACAAGCATTTTTCAATAGTCCTATATTTTAATTCTACTCAGATTACGCAGACTCATCATAAGATGAATGAGCAAGAAACTTGTATGTATGTACCTAGATAGATAACATTATTTCTCTATATGTGATAAACAGCTTATAGAAATACTGACCCCAGCAAAAGCAGCGCCGTTCCAACCCAGACGGTCGTGGTCACGCTGCGGTGTATGATTAGGTGGGGCCTTCCGGTCAGTTCGAGATGCGAGTCGGGCTTTTGCACGTAAAGCAGCACGCAATGGCACGTTTGCGCGTGCTGCCTCTGCACGTCCATGTTGGCAGAACTCTAGGAGCGCCACAGTTAATGCCAGTGCTAAACCTCCAACCAATACATAGAAGATTCCAGCTACTTGGCTTAAGGTCATTTCTGTGATTGTAGGCTCCTGGAATAAGAAAGAGGGATTTGTAAGTAACGTGGATTGTTGACCTCGTTACTAGCAATGGACCGCGTGGAGATCAACTTGTCATAAGTTGATCTCCACGCGGTTTCCACTGGAAACTATTGCAATGAATTCCTCTGGTGATTTTTTTATGATCGGCTGACCTGATCTTATCATCCTATCATTTTCCTCAGGTGCCAGTATATACCCTTAACGAAGACGTAAGATTATTCCATTAACATCAATTAAAAAAAACATATTACATTATTCACGTGAATACAAGAAAAAACATATGTAATTATTTTTACTCTAATGTAAATACGGATTTATACATAAAAGTATGATGACTGCAGACCATAATTTCTATACATAAGTGTATAAAAAAATATAGTCTATAGAGGCCTTTTTTTTAAATTTTTTTTAAATTAAAGTAACAAAAATATAATATTGAATTATTCGACAAAAGTTTTTTTTATCACAATTCCATAACACTTATGCTTAGTGACAAAACGAAATTATAGCGCCGTCTACTTTTGCCACAGCGCCATCTATCGCGCAGTTAGTGTACTTTTACGTAAGTGGTTGCTTGCGAGGCTCCAAGTTATTCGCAAACTTTACTTTTTTTGTATTCTGCCATAAGCAATTTAAATATTTGGATGTATATGCTTTTCCTTATCTACATAATAATACACTGTAAAAAAAATAATATTAAAAAAATTCTGAGATATGGTTCAGTTTGTTTCGCCTTCCTAATCATTCGAAGCTGGAGATGATATATAAAATTTATTTTTTTATATTATAAATTTGTATATATTACCGTTATTATGACGGCCTCACTTAACCGATATCGCGAATTCGATTCACTCACACAGTGAAAAAATTGTATTCATATCTACGATTGTTTGTATCGATCTGTGTGTTTTCTATGTATATTGTGTTACAAGAAAATGTATAAGTATTTGTATCAGTTGTCTAGTACCCATAACACAGGCTCTGCTTGATTTGAAACTAGATGGCGTTGTGATACGATCCTAGTTTATTATAGTTATTATTTAGACAGATTTTGGTAGATTAAATTTTGTTAAGCACTTATACCAGGATATAAATGTTTCCTTACCCAAAATATTTTTTTTTCATTTAATATTGCATAATTACAAAACTATAACAGAATATACACATCGATGTTGTAACTTAGTATGGTATATATATATGTATATATATTAATTTATTACACAAATTTGGTATTTATACGAGAGTTCTCAAACTACAAGCATCAGTGTTATATATAGTAAGTTAATCTTTGTTCCTTCTATCCGTACTTAATTCTACGTTTGCCGTTCTATTAAGTCTATATCCACAGTTGAATCTTTAACAATAGTATGTAATATTATGTTATCTGTGATAATAGTGACGAGCAGCAGTATTTACATTACTTTCCATCAAACAACAATGATTGTTTTACAAAACGCGCGTCGAAGCCTGTCGCGACATCAATCATATACAATGATGATTAAGAGTCATACAATTAATTACATTTTCTTGATTGAAGAATTTGTTTTAAAGAGATTGTTCGCAATTAAAAAGTTATCCGCCGTTCTATTAACTCTATATCCACAGTTCGACTGCGAACGTTTATCGCCACTACGTCAGATAGGTAACGCTCACTGCCAATTCAGCTTGGAGATTCGTTGTGCCGATGACTCTAGCTCTCTGGCGAATTACTTCGTTTCAAATTCGATCTCCCAGAGAAATTTCAAGCGTAGCTCTTTATATAGCTTCTAAGCTATTCAGTCTACTGAATGTGAGTTTCTGATTGTATTGCAATCTACGTTCCGCACCTTATTAACACAACTTCACAGTCTTCAAGTTTTCGATATTAATAATAATAATAAAGACATTTATTCGGCATTACAATATTCTTCTATGCTATCTATCTACATACATAATAATAATAATAATAAGAATCTCAGAACAATTCACACAGTGCCATCTAGACCCAAGTTAAGCTAACTAAAGCTTGTGTTATGGGTACTAGACAACTGATACAAATACATAGATATTTTTTTTTTTTCGTAAATACTTACATATTATACATAGAAAATACCCAGACCGATACAAACAATCATACTCATGAATACAAATGTTTGTGCCGTGCGAGGAATCGAACCCGCGACCATCGGACGTAAAGCGGTGTGCTAGACCGCTAGACCACCGAGGCCGTCATTGACACCTATCTACATTGACATCGCTGTTACTCCAGTCAGCCGTGACCACGGCTAGTGTAACCTAGTCGAAACGTCGAGAGAGGTAAATACCTTTATTTGCCATAAAATTATTCGTGTTTAAAAGACCCGGTTAATAATTTAAATAATGTATATTAAACAACGAAAGTTTAAAATTAACTATGTATGAAAATTATTAATATCGACAGGATAGGAACTCAATTCAGCTCTTATTAAAAATTGATAAGTAGGAGTGTATACCCCATTAAAGAAAAAATGAAATAGAAAAATATATGTTTATATTACATATCATTACCTCATCTTTTACGTCGCAGTTGGGTTTCTTCGTGTTTAACCATTTCCGCCAAAGCTTAGTAACAACTCCATCCTTTTTCAAATTCACTATAGCCAGATTTATATTTTCCCTGAAATTTAATTAATGAAATATTAAAGCAAGATTTCTTTTCTATTCATCTCGCCTAACAAAGAGTACATTACAAACTTAATTAACTGATTGTACAAACAAAAACAATAAGCAAGAATTTACAATGAAATTATGCGTAAATGTATCTATATATACTCTTCATATTATAATAAAGAAATAAAAATAGAAATAGAAATAATCTTTATTAAATAAACTCATTATAAGCACTTTTGAATATGAATATCATATATTTGATTCTACCACTCATTCGGAATGCAAATTCATCACAAGAAGAATGAGCAAGAAACTTGTGTGTTGCTCTTTTGAATAGATATTTTTTTATATACATAAATAATTACAGTATAACATGTAAGAGGCATGCGATAATCAACATAGAAACCGCTACGCACTCACTCTTAGTGCTCTTGGAGTATTGCGAGATACCCATGATGCTGTAAAAACTAAACTAAAGAAATAAAGCATATGCTGTGAGGATGGAGAAGAAACTCAAAATAAAAACTATTTTGAGTTTTTTGTCGCTCGTTCTTTCGATCACTTGATGTACGATGCATTTGTAGTATATAATTATAATCCCTACATGATTACTAAACGACTCAAATAGTCCGGTCTGATTTCGTTATTTTATTATAAACTTGCGACCCGTCCCGGCTGAACACGCCGTTACATTACATTGTTGTATCAAAATGTTCGTTTATTGACATATTTCACCAACCAGAGACTAACTGCTATTTTTATAACACAAATAACCTTTGTCTAGTGGCAATGGTTATTTCATAAAACATAAACCAACTAGAAGAAGTAACTATTTATTTACTAAATAGCTGTAAAAACCAACTACTTCCGGGTGGAACTAATCTTTATTTTTCTGAAATAAAAGATATTTCTAAAACAAAAGTAGACTCAGTTACTTCTTATTAAATCAGATATCTGCCATAAAAAGTCCCGTCAAAATCGGTCCAGCCATTTCAGAGATTACCCGGAACAAACAGACAGACAGACAAAAATTGTAAAAAAAAATATTTTGGTATATGTACCGTATTTACATTCATATGCATGTAGTAAAAAACGATTATTTCAGTATTACAAACAGACACTCCAATTTTATTTATATGAATAGATGTATAGATGTCAAGTTTGATATTTGTACTTTATATTTTATACATAAAAATTCTTATAAATATAATACTAAACAACATCTATTTAAAAGAGCAACACGCAAGTTTCCTTATCACTCTTCGTATGACGAGTCTGCGTTTTGAATGACTGCAAGATTAAAGTCAATATGACTATTCAAAAGTCTTTCTATAAAATTTTGTTAACAACTACAGTAGCGAACTCCTTGATAAGTTTTTATACTATTTTTGTATTGTATAATAATATTCTTTGACATATTCTTTATTGTTACTATCTATTTATTATATATCGCTGTCAAATTAGATGCATTTTATCTCCATATTTTCCTTATTAAACCTCAGCACCTCTCAGTCATCAGACACATTACATAGATACCTCCACTTGAACTACTTTCCGTCAATCGTTGCATAGTTTAAAATGGACGTCGTTCGGAGTCCAATTGTCAAAATGTAACTTTTAACCATTGTAATTTTTTACAATAGGGGAAATAGGTAAAACGTGCAATGGAAAAGGGAACTTGTCGTTTTAGTAATTAAACTTAGAATGGCTATCGAAAGTGGATGCGAATGTTTTTTCGTGGTGGAGACTTGATTGGATACGGTCGAATGTATGTTCTAAGCTGGTTAGTGGAGCCGATTCGATTGTAGAACTAAAGCCATGACAATAATGCTTAAACTGGGGATTTAAATGCTAAATTTATTATTACAGTAGGTCTGTCTGTATCGATTGTAATAATAATAATAATAATCTCAGAAAAATTCACACAGAGATCCATTTAGATCCAAGTTAAGCTAGCTCGAGCTTGTGTTATAGGTACTAGATAACTGTATCTAGCAGTTATCTAGTACCTATAATGTATTTACAAAAACTAAAAAAATATATCTATGTATATGTATCAGTATACATATACATAGATATATTTTTTTAGTTTTTGTAAATACATACATATTAAACATAGAAAACACCCAGACCGATACAAACAATCATACTCATGAATACAAATGTTTGTGCCGTGCGAGGAATCGAACCCGCGACCATCGGTCGTAAGGCGGCGTGCTTGACCGCTAAACCACCGAGGTTCAATATAATATATTTAGGTTAAATAAGTCTAAGCTTATAGAAGCCAATGATTATAATCTTAATAATAATATAAACGTGGAAGTTGTTTGTTGTTTGTTGATGGTTATTTGTACTCTTTCACGGATAAACTACCACGCGGACGAAGTAATAGTAGTAGCTAGTATTATCATAAAATTTATATCCAATACTTGTACCAACCAAAGGTGGTCACCCGGACAAAGCGGCAGCAAGACGCTAGTTCAATATACTCATACGTTAGTATTGCTTGACATTACACTTAGTTTCCCAGGAACAGAATTAGGTATATCGTTAAATTCCGTTACGACTCATCTCCATCGTAAAACCACGTTCGCATCATATAAAATGTAAATTTTTAACTTGTTGTCAAAAATCACGTACGTACGTAGGTACTAGTGGGTACCATAAAAATGGGGTGTTATAAATTCGAAATGTACAGCACCGACTTTCCTGACGGGGCCCATGTAAATTTACGACTTTTCAGTATTCAGCTGGGAATTACCGCATAGAGCGAGATTTCAGCTTGATAGTGGGAGCTGTAGTGAGAATTTACGTTGGAGTTCATCCCGGGGTATAACTACGTATTACAGCGTGCTCCCTCTTTTATTTTCAGTCCCGCCCCATAATAATGGAAGCCGCGAACCGCCGAGCCGTTCTATTTTGAGTTACCCTTAAGACACCATTAAATAAACTGCTATGGATCGGTTTCTCGGACGGATATTGCTATTTTAGCTCCATCAGCTGACTTAGAAGGTTCTGTACAGTTAGTCATATTAATGTTATGTATGCCACAGATAGTTTTTCAGATTAGTGAATCAGTTATTGTTAGAATATTTTTAGCCTGTATTTTGAAGTAAAAATAGTAACTTACTCTGTACAACCTTTATGTGTTTTCTGTTTTTATATTAACTACTAGCTGTACTCGTGATTTCGTCCGCATGGAATTTAACGTTATTTTTCTAAAATAAAAGTAGTAGTAAGTTACTCATTATTACATTAGCTACCTGCCAAAAAAAAATCCCGTCAAAATTAGCCCATCCCTTTCATAGATTAGCGGAAACGAAAAGACAGACAGACAAGAATTGTAAAAAATTATATTAAAGTGTATGTACCGTATTTATACTCATATGCATGTAGTAAAAAACGGTTGTTTTAATATTACAAACAGACACTTCAATTTTATTTATATGTATAGATGATTTTTGAGGTTTTTGTCTATTATAAATGTCCTCTTTTTGTTCTGATAAGTTTGGTTCAATGATTAATTCTACTATCAATGGGGGTAGGGTTTTCATTAGATATATATTCGATTTCTTTTAATTTTGGTGATAAAAATAAAGTTTCCTAAGTTGAAAAGATTTTGCCAAATGTTTTTAGATTATAAGGAATATTAGGTAGCTCTGATCAAAGGATTATTTTATATGCTGAATATAATATACTTCTACTGAAAAATATATTTAACTGTGATTGTTACATTGTTGCTATATTATTTAAACCATTAAAACATTGTCAATATTATGTAATTACAATATCGATTTAAGTATAAAAAATAATTTAATAAACAATTTTAATTTTAACTAAACAATGGAATTGATAAATAATTCCTTTAAAGTTTCCTGTAAACACAATAAAATGATGACAAAAGTCAATAATTAAATAAAATATTTAATACTAATATTAGGGCACTTTCTGACCTTTGGGAAATCTAGGCCATTAGTGTTAAAATCCGTAAATTATCCCTAAAATACGGGGTTCGAAAGGGCTCCCAAAAGACTATAAAAGGTGGGCACTTTTCTTTAATCTTCCCTTTGTTGAGTTCAAATGGTAGGCAACCGTCGTTACAATGCTCGTCTATGTAACGATTTATTTACTGTAATATATACATTACTACTTAGCAAATTTTTTTTTATATATTTAGCGTTTAAGAAGTCATCCACTATATTTACAACTAGCTGTACCCGCGACTTCGTCCGCGTATTAGAATGATCAAATAAAGAAAAATTATTCAATTGTCTAACTTAAAATAGCAAAAGAAAAAAGTTTTATCGTTCTGCTTTTAAAAATGACGAATTTCCATACAAACTTTCATTCCCTATTTTTTTTACTCTCTTAAGAGTAACATTTTTACAAATTTTGAATGTCATATTTATTTATATTTAATCATCAGCATAAGAAATAAGTTTCAAGCTTTGAAAATGACGATATTCCACACAAACTTTCATCTCCTCTTTCAACCTCTTACAACCCTATTTTCGCATTTAAAAGTAGCCTATGTCCTTTTTCGGGGTCTAGACTATCTGTGTACCAAATTTCATTTAAATCGGTTTAGTAGCTTAGGCGTGAAAGCGAGACAGACAGACAGACAGAGTTACTTTTACATTTATAATATTAGTAAGGAAGTAAGGATTGTTATTACTTGCAAGAAGTTCAAGTTTACTTAATCTTAGTGTTGAGTTAATGACTGGTTGCCACGGCACGTGTAAATATTTAGAAGTTCTTTTTATTATATTATAATAACATACGCATCTCTATAGATATGTATATATGAATAAATTACTATTTGATTTCAACTTTAACTGTTAATAGACAGGTTCGATTTTTGTTTGAAAAAGTATTGTTAATTAATTAGAAAACACGTCAATATCCGAACTTTTGCACTACATTATTATAGTATTTTCTATTCTATAATTAAATTATTTCTAGTAATGGTAAACAAGCGGTCCAAATGATGACTATTAAAAAGTGTTTATTGTATTCTTTTGTTATTTTAATCTATTCTATATTTGACAAGTCTGAAATATAGGTCCCCCAAATAAACGTAGTAAACAACCCCATAGTAATCTGTGGCACTTAGGGGCGCAGAATAAAAAATCCTTTATCATACAATTATTTTTACTTTAGACTCTATAGCGTATATATTATCATCCGTCATACTCGTGATCTGGTGCTGCTTGTGGGAACCGGTCTGTTTGGGTTACGAACATTGATTAGACTATTTGCAATAGCATAAGCAGATGGTCACTATATTCTCTCAAATTTGAATTTAAAAATGAATATGTATAATTAAATTATCATGTACGACTTTCATTTGAAAAGTATACGAGCGGTGTTTTTCGTCAGTTCTTCACATCTCGAAATCATTCCGAACTGACGGCAGATTTGACATATTATAAGAGTCTGTAATAAACCTACATGAATGAAGATAAATTGAATTTTGAATTTGAATATAACTCAATTCAATTTTCATATCGTGCTACAAATCGTATATACGAGTACATTATCAAGTTTTAGGTAAATGTTATGAAATTGGGTCATTGGGCTCCCTAAAATATGATCGAGTGCAGTGATGGCTGGCTCATCCGTCATACTCGTGAACGAGTGCTGCTTGTAGGGACTGGTCTGCTCTTATCACTACGACTGATTTAATCTTATTGTATATTTATATTTGACCCAAATAAATTAGTCCTGGTTGGTAGTTTGTATTCACACGTTTCGACTTGTAAATGTAAACTTACAAGGATTATTTAAAATAGCAACACACAAGTTTCACAAACCTTGTTTTGATATATAAATTAATAACGCTGTAAAAAATAGGGGTTGGTGATAGAAGGGTGAAAATTTAGGGTTGTATGAATTTTTTAATGACACATAATAAAACAATATGATTAAAATATTCTTGCACAAAAAAATAATGTTATTGGTGGACAACTCTTATCACTTATAGAAAAATAGATAGTAGCCGATTCTCAGACCTACTGAATATGCATTTCTTGCTCGTTCTTGTGATGAGACAGCTTTCCAAAGGAGCGGTAGATATAAAAAATTGTTATGACTATTCAAAAGTGCTTTAATTATGTTTATTTGAATAAATTAATTTCTATTCTATTCTAAAATATTTTAAAAAGCAATTCCCAACTAATAGAGTGAATGTTTCTTATCAAAGGGGTACGCAGTGCGAAACGGTAGCTATGAGCAATATCGTTGGTTCACTGGTCAAAGCATGCATGACGTCACCAGTTTCGCCGCCAGTGATTTTCAATAACTGGTTATCATAAATTTTAGGCAGCAATGTTGATTTTTTCAAGCGAATTCTCTAAAATAGTGTATTCCAGTTTTAGCAAAATGTTATTTTAAAGTGTTTATCTTTTTTTATTATTATGTCAAACTCCGCACTTTTAGCATTATTTACTGTTATATGTGTCCTATATGTTTATGAAAGTTCTTTCCATTAAATATTCAACTGTCTAGAGGACCGACTATAGAGTTAGTATCATAAAGATGGACTATTTAGTAAGACAAAAGAATGATTGTATTTACTCATATATTTTAGGCAAGCAATTTTTTTACACACATATGTATAGCTGTCTTCCAATAAAAAAAAGGTAAGTACAATATAATAGATACAATATAAACAAATACAATATAAACAAATAGTAGCAATATAATTATAAAAAAAATGTATTAAACAAACTTATAGATACTAATATTTAATCAAAATATTTCTATTTCATCATAATATTAAAGATAATTTTTCATTTCTCAACAGATAAACAAGAAAACTTATACCTAAAGAATCTTTTATGATTTAATTATTTTTATTTATTTATTTATTCTTTTGCACACAAAAATGTATACATGACGGACTTAATGCCTGATGGCATTCTCTACCAGTCAACAGTCGCGTTGATCAGAGATAATAAGGCGGTGCACTTTAATAATTAATTGAAAGAAAAAAAAAATCAAAAATGATAACAAATAGATACAGAAAAATAATACATATATATACAGATGCAAATATATAAAAATACTAATATACCAATATAAAATATATAAGTTTATCTGTATAAGAGTTCTATTTTCTTTACAATTCTAATAATTTATAACTTAATCTAACTTATAACAATAATATTAAATTGAATTTTGGAATATAGTACTCAGAAACTTGTACTCAGGATCTCGTTTGCAAACTAAGGAAGACGTATTTAAGGATTAGTGGAAATTCCACGTCTAATGACTAAAATAGATGACGAAGTTCTGACTTTAAATACTTGGCTAATGGACATAAGAATGAATATTTATTTTTAATATTATAATAATAATAATCTCAGGACAATTCACACAGCGCCATCTAGTCCCAAGTTAAGTTAGCTGAAGCTTGTGTTACGGGTACTAGATAATTGATACTTTTACATAGATAATATTTTTTCGTAAATACATACATATTATACATAGAAAACACCCAGACCGATACAAACAAATATACTCGTGAATACAAATGTTTGTGCGGTGCGAGGAATCGAACCCGCGACTATCGGACGTAAAGCGGTGCGCTAGACCGCTAGACTACCGCGGTCAAATTATTATGTCCATTGCATTCATTTTATATAGTTATTCGCTGACCCGTAAAGTAAATCTACTAATATTGTTATATTTTATAACTATATTAGTAATTTACGGGTAGAAGGGTGAAAATTTAGGAGTGTGCCTATTTTTTATGCATTAATAGCGTATCGTAAAAATTAAAGATAATAAAATAATGAACATATTATAAAAAATAGATAACAACTTATTCTCATACCGAATATACAAATGAAATTTTATCAAAATCGGTCAAGTCGTTTTGGATGAGTACGGCTACTAACACTGTGAGTCGAGAATTTTATATATTACGAGTAGACTAGCTGTCCCGGCAAACTTTGTTTTACCATATAAATTAAGAACGCTATAAAAAAATAAGGATTGGTGATAGAAGGGTGAAAATTTAGGGTTGTATGTATTTTTAATGACACATAATAAAATTAAAAATAATAATTTTACCCAAAAAATAAAAAATAAAATGTTAGGGTTGGACAACCCTTATCAGTTAGGGGTATGAAAAATAGATAGTAGCCGATTCTCAGACCTACCAAAAATACATATAAATTTTTATCAAAATCGGTCAAGTCGTTTTGGGGGCGTATGGCTACTAACACTGTGACACGAGAATTTTATAGGATTAATATAATGTCTGGTCTGGATGATTTTAAAAACATCATGTATGAACATGTTTACTGGAATCATGATCAGTCTGATGACCTCCCTGATGGTGAGTGGTAACCGTCGTCTATGAACTGACCACGTTACCATAACACGTGATCTTCACTAGGATAAGATTTTTTTTATAATAATAGCTTTACCCTTGCAATAAACTGGTCACATATAATATACATATAGTTACTATATTATTTCTGAGAACTGGTCTTACCTCATAGGAGATCCTTTTGGTGTCGCGATAGCAAGCTCGGTATGTTTATATTTACATACTCTGGATATCGTATTGCACGTCATTTCAGGGCCTTTTTCCATAGAATAGTACGCAATGGATCCATCGTTTGATACCGTGTCTCTCACTGGATAACCCGAAAAGAATGAACCCTAAAATGCACCATAAATTAACAAAATTCATTAATATTACTGAGCTAAAACTCTAGTCTATCTATACAAAACATAAAAAAAAAATTTGGTATCATCCACAACAAAGAAATTACCATATAATGAAATCTAATATTTCCCGTATATAATATTAATATAGGAAATTTATACAATTATTAAGGAACCCAGAGAAATGCATATTATGACTACATTTTATGACTTAATCAATTTATATTATTTTGTTTAATCCCGCTACCACGCACGTGTGAGACCACAAATATATATTATATACAGAAACCTGGCCACTTTACTACCTGACACTAGGTTTCCAAGATATATCCGAAGTCTATTCAATGCATACTACTAATATAATAATGATAATACTTCCTTCGGAGACGATACACTAATTTAAATAAAGGGGTAGACTCAATAATGGTCGGAATTTGATCACCGATAGAGAATGTCCGCATCTGATCACCGCTCCCAGTAGCGGTGATCAGGTTTCCGCACTAAATATTTGTGGTCTCATACCTGCTGATCGAAGCGGAATTAAACAAAATAATATTACTATTCAAGTACCAAAAGGGATGTTTTCAGTTCTAATTTTTGTATCTATGGAGGTACTCACTGTTATTATGCGGAAGTCTATTTTATTACTTAATAGATTTATTATTATTTTGTTTAGTTCCGCTACCATTAGCACGCGTGAGACCACAAATATTAAATACAGAAATCTGGCCACTTTGCTAACTGATACTAGGATTCCAAGATATATACGAAGTCTATTCAATCGTCTGATAATACCTCATTTAGAGGGTAAACACGTGTTTCAATATGCGGGTAGACTCAATAATGGTCGGAATTTGATCACCGATAGAGAACGTCATAACGGTTCCAGTAGCGGTGATAATGTTTCCGCACTGAATATTTGTGGTCCCACACATGCTGATCGTAACGGAATTAAACAAAATAATATTATTATATTAATAGTAATGTTTCCAAAAGTAATGTTTTCAGTAAGTTTTATTTTTTGTATCTATAGTCGCACTCACTATGCGATTTTATTCGAATAGTATCTTCGACTACATTGGTAGTGGGAATTTATTTGTATTTGATTATAGTGTCAATTATAAGGTTTTTTGCTTACACTGCTTTGCTAGTAGCCGATAAACGGATAAGATTAAAATATAATGCGACAATGTTGAATGATTTTAATAGTATGATAATCATGTGTAGAAGTGACAATAATAAAAATGTTTTAGGGAGTTAACAGACGAATAATTAGAGATAAATTGTCAGTGTTTTAGAGATGAATTCGTTATTAATGGATGAAATATTGTAGCGGTTTGAAAATATTCGTGTTGCGAGTTAAATCCGCAATGTAGTTATATGTAGTTAAAGTTAAACAAAAACGAATAGAGCAGTGATGCAATTATCAAAATGGACAATGAATTTTATATTCTAAATAACAATTTAAAAAAATACTCACAACATTACTATAGTAGAGACAAAATAAAAGACAAAGAAAGTAATAACAAAACAAACGAAGAAGATGACACAGAATGAAATGAATTATAGAAGAAGAATCATACACGCTATTATGATTATACTGCAGTCGCTGTTGCATCTGTTCTGTAAACAACCAAGCGCCATTTGTTACCTGAAGTTTGTAATATTGTGTCTCTTACTTCTGATTGTGCCAAGCCTGCTGGATAGCTGACGGTCTGAGGTGGTTCAGTGATACGCTCCACTATGAGATATGCTGCCAAATTTGCCGTGTAAGAACAAACCAGGATTAAGGCAAAAAACCACCAAACAGTGCCCACTATTCGTCCTGATAAAGACCTGTTTAAATAACAAAATATACACTATTAGTAATTTTTAATAAATTTCCTAAACTTGAAGATAGAATATTTCAAAGTATAGCTTGCAGTGTTATTACTCCTTGAAATATACATGTGAATCTAAACAAACTATCGGAGTCGAGACTCAGAGTCCATAAGGCTGTAATATATGCGCATATTCTGACATTGTTTGTTATACAAACAAAATATTCCAAATTCAAAAAAAAGAATTGCCATATCTAAAATTTTCAATACTTGATTCAGCTACAGCAAATAATTGTACTAATATATACCCGAAAACAGAACCACAAACATATATCGATCTCTTTTTTATTCCCGTAAGAACATTGAAAATCGTTTCCCTAGAGAGGGATAAGGACGCGGTAGTGCGCGCCGCCGCACAGAACATAAGTCGCTGATGGGAAAATTCTTCTCGTAACGAGTTAAACATGTTAAAAGGTAAGTATATCTAGATGTTCATTATACGTACCTTTATCATAACAATATTATTGAATTATAAACTCAAATGATTATTACTTACGTCTGTAATTTGTATACAACATTTAAATTAAGCTAAATATAAATTGAACGAGCAATAAAGCTCCCCTTTCATGTAATGTTACTCCCACACGTTTCTGTCATTTTCCCAGTGAAAGAGAAAGAATATAGATAAGTAATTTTATTACAAGTAGTATCTCGCATCGGTAGACATAACAAGGTGATTATCGTGCCTCCTTCTTACCCGGCGTTCATTTATTTATAAAAGATGCTTGTCCCGAACACGCACGATTTCATTATTATTATCTTTTATTATTTTTTCCATTTTGTTTTATAATATTATTTTAATATTAAAACATAAATCTAAATTCTACATTATATAGTGATGCACCGCCTGAAGCGGAATCGAAGTTTCTCGCTGACGTCATAGCGCGGAAAGTTCCTTAGTATACGAACCATGGCCAAGAAGTACTATTGGATCGGACCCTTGACCTAACAACCTCTTGAGATGATGTTCGAGACTCTTCGCTATAAGATCGTTCGCCATTACGACTATCGGAACAATTATAGCAACGTTGGCATCTCATATTTATGTTGATATTTATTTTTAGATCAGGCAACTCATATTAATACCTACATATATTACTAGTAGTCCCGGAAAACGTTGTATTGCCATATAAATTTAAGTACCTATAATGCTATTAAAAAATAAGGGCTGGTGGTAGAAGAGTCTAAATTTAGGGTTGTATGTATTTTTAATACGTTATTACAAAAAAAAAATTTTCTTCAAAATTAAAAAGTAATGTTAGGGCTGGACTGTCCTTATCACTTAGTGGTATGAAAAATATACAGTACCTGATTCTCAGACCTACTGAATGTGTATATAAAATTTCATGATAATCGGTCAAGGAGTTCCGGAGGAGTATGGTAACTAACATTACCATACTCCTCCAAAACGGCACGACATGACACGAGAATTTTATATATAAGATTAAATCATAATCGTTTTTTAATATCATGAAATATATTTGTACATCAAGCTTACAACTTTATTTGAAATATAAATAATCTTTATTCAAATTAATATAAGTATTCTTTATAGTTATATATTATATTTATATATTATATATAGATATATATACATATATATATTACAATAATTGCCATATAATATTTTATTATTGTTCAGAGAGACTCGTGGCCTCGTGAGTATGACTAGTGCAACCTATTCGAAACGTCATGGAAGTAAAATGTAACTTTGTGTAAAATTTAATTGTCAAAAAAACATGTAATTTAATAATTACCACTAAGTAAGATTTTAATATTATGCTTGTTTATTACTACCACAGATAACGTAATATGTTTCTACTATGTAATAAAAAACATATATATTTATTATGTGTTGATTGTGTTAAAGTTGCTTTCTGTTTACTTCAGCAGAAGTGGTATTTAGTATTTAAATTTAAATGTAACGATGTTGTGTCTTCAAGTTTGTATTTTGGCGACTGATTGTAATATACACAAACGGTGGCCGGCCGGCAGCCACACAACAAAACTATAACTGCGGTTCGGTATAGATGAACATATGTATTCTCGAATTCAATGTTATATTATGAATTTTTAATAGACAAATTAAGATGGGAGGACTATTTGACAAAATAAGTCTAAGTTAACTTGGTCTCTCTCATTAGATGAGGTAAGACCAAGCGTAAACCCATGAATATTAATAAAAAAATGACAAAGTAATATACTATGATAATAGCAGAAAGATATACAATCAATGCACAGATATTAAGAAAAGATATGTGATATCTAAAGTCAGATACGTATTTAAACAGGAATCTTTTCATTCAAGGCATGGAATTTAATTTAGAATTCAATAAACAGTTGAGTATGCAATATAGCAAGCTATACGGTCAGTATTAAAAGTGATAGCGCTGTGGCAACAGATTTTGTTGAGGTTTTCTGGAAAAACTTTATTTGCGGGTCGTAATTTTGGTATTTCAACGTATATATATATTTAGCATTACATAGTATATTACATAGTCCCTATGTATGCTTAAATCTTTAAAACTACGCAACGGATTTTGAATCTGTTTTTTTAACAGATTTCAAGAGGAAGGTTTATATATATATAATACATCTACCCGTGTGAAGCCGGAGCGAGTAGTTAGTAATACTATAAAGCTGAAGTGTTTGTTTGTTTGAATATACTAATCTCAGGAACTACTGGTTCGAATTGAAAAAAAAATTTTGTTTTGGACAGTTCAACTACAGAGGAAAGCTTTAAGCTATATAACATTAAACTAACGACCAATATTAGCGAAGTATCAGTGAAAAATGTTGCATAAATGCGGAAAAATATTCATATGTGAGGGCTTCAGTTGCGTGCGCTGCGTACAAAATATAGTATGAAAGAATGATTCCTCTTTAAATGATCTGTAAAATATCCACGACAGTATATGTATATCTTTTAAGAATAACTCACTATAACTTTTTGTTCGAGTCAAAATAGTTTTCTACTAGTACAACTAGATGGCGCTGTATTTTTCCATACATATTTCTAAAACACGCTATTAAGATTATTTTGTCATACCTTATGTAGATATGTATTTTTTTCTATATGCACCCCTCCGATCGACCCCCCGTCCAATTCAAACGAGGATCGATATTACGACGGCCTGAGCCGAGGTTCGGACTCCTAGTGGTGCCCTCAGACTAAAGTCGTATCTGTCAGGCGGGAGTTGGCCTTCAGCCGCTCCATAAGTCCTTCCGCGGGTTTGGAGTGCCAGCTGCACTCACCCCCTAACGTCCGGTGAAGCTGTAAAGGCCAGCTGCGGCCAACATCATTAGAGTAGTCCGAAATAAAAAATCTATACGCACGTTTAGATCAATATACGGTTGTAACCTCATAAGTGTATTTAATTCAATAATAAAGTACAAACGCTCCTGATCTCCAGAACCTCGATTTTCTACACTTTTTTTATGGTAATCAAATTTAGTATCAAAAGATAATCGCATTAGTGCTTTTGATAGCAACGCGAAAGATGTCGCGGGCACAGTTAGTCCGATATAAGAGTACCTACCTCGGTACGACGTCGCTGCCCTGCTGCATAAACGATCCCAGCGAGAACCAAAATGAGTTCCAGATACTGAATTCATTGTGTAGAATTATCTAGAAAATATATATACAGTTAAAACAAATTATCATTATAATTATATATTTACAATAATATTAACAAACTAAAAAGATCATTTAATTTTGAATTAAATTTAAAACATATATTATATGTTGAATATTATAAGAATAGTCATTAATATAAAGTAATTATTATATAATAATTACGATTATAAATAAAAAAATCTAAATTCTATTAATTTACGTGCATTAATTTTAAACTTAATACCATATATTTTGTTTTATAATAATTAATTTAATATTACATAATTATAATTAAAATGTAATATTACATAATTTGCCATATTTCATTATATTAGTGTAAATTATCTCGTTACAAGATAAGATTCTAACGTTAAATAAATAGTTTTACTGCAAGTCTAAACTAAACGGTAATTAACTTTAGTAAGTCACTTCTAAATAATCATCTAGATTATGTGCAATATGCACATAAAATATTTTGAACTTTCATAATTGTTTAACTACTTACATAGTTGAAATATATTATTTACTAGCTGTACTCGCGACTATAAAAATTAGCCAAATTACTCCTTATTACATCACCTACCGTTCAATAAAAGTCCTGTCAAAATCGGTCCAGTCATTTCAGAGATTAGCCGAAACAAACAGACAGACAGACAAAAATTGTAAAAAATGTTATGTTGGTGTGTGTACCGTATTTATATGCATATAGTAAAACGGTTATTTCAATATTACAAAACAGACACTCAAATTTTATTTATATGTATAGATTAATATTAGGCTAGAACCTAAGATCTATGAGTATTTAAAAATTATTGCAATATTAACCAAACGTTAAGTTAATATGTAAAGTTACTTGAATAAAAAATATATACTGCATACTTAAATATATGAGTATTAAAAATACCTCATTAGTGCTGCTGATCGGATGATCCAAATGTGTATCCGATATTGATACAGATCGCCACTCATGTGGTGAAAATCTAGATACCAGAAATAGTACGATGCTGACAGCAAAAAAGCTAAACAGGACGCATAACTGCAAAGATATTTTTTTACTATAGTATAATATAACCACAATATAATAACGGAATAAAAACATATTAATATGAACATAAATCACACTCTCCATGGGAAACTCGTAATAATACCCCATACAATATTCTTTAACAAATATTTTAACGATGTTGATGGTATAGCGGCCCAGCACACTGCTTTATGTCCAATGGTTGCGGGTTCGATTCCTCGCACGGCACAAATATTTGTATTCACGAGTATGATTGTTTGTATCGGTCTGAGTATTTTCTATGTATAATATGTATGTATTTACGAAAAAAAAAATCTATGTATTTGTATCAGTTATCTAGTACCCATAACACAAGCTTTGGCGAGCTTAACTTGGGACTAGATGGCGCTGTGTGAATTGTCCTGAGATTATTATTATTATTATTCTTTATTTTTTCTCAGCTTTTGCTGGTTTTATTATTATTTAGGTGAACCTATTTATATAAAGAACTCACATGTTTGGTTTAAAAAAAAATATACTTTTTTAGTTCTCATTATAAAATCTAGATTTTTACTTAATCTCAAACGCGTAATAGTATTGTTATAATATAAGAACCAATATAAAGGAATATAAGAACATAATGCCACTATTTTTGATCACTTTTTATGTTTACTCTATAGTAAACCAAGGGTTTTGTTTTGAGATTTCTGTACAATATGTATCTTGTTTCCGTTCTATGCAACGGGGAGGAAAATGACATATATATTTTTTTCTATCACTACATACAGACGTACAATAGAATTTATCAATATTTTTTGTATTATTTATGAATGAAGTTAAGATATTACTTGTTAGATTATAATATTAAAAATATTATTAAAGTTTGACAGTTCAACAACAAACTGTCATAACTGTACGAGTATGGTTTTATCGAGTATGTTTGGGAATGCCCGAGGCAGCCTCCCGTTTTTACAAAGTCAATTATTATGGAGATGAACTAACTTCTACTTGCTCCGTATTTGTAGTCCAATCATTTGTATTTAGAAGAATTATGTTTAAAATTTTGGTTCCTATGCCAAATTGAGTGGCCAGGTAATAGTACATTAAATTCCCTTTTCAACAGTGAGCAGTACTCTTTTATTATGATGTGGATATGACAAACAAGCAAACAAATAACAATAGACATGTGTTATCTAAATAGAGCTTGTACTTCTTCATAACTGATAGTACAAAAATATTTATTATTACTTATATAATGTATCAACCAAATGAATACAAGTGTAGTTGTGTTACAAGGGAATCGAACCCAAAACTATTTGATAAAATCGCTAAAACATATTGCTCAGAAATTTTAATACATCGTTCTAAATTATAAGTGATTGAATATTTCACTTATTTTAATTTACAGCCAAAAATACATTCAATTTCATGAATAATATTAGTTATTGAACACTCACCCATATTTCCTTAGACAGAGGTCGCAGAAAGCTGAATGTATCCGACAGTTGTTTTGGTATTCTTTTATTCGTAATAGGACTGTCAATTGACAGGAACGGTTCACTAAAATCCACCAGTTTTTCTCGTTCTGGCGTTATGGACAACGGTCCAAACGCTATATCGGCATCCTAATAAAAAAAAAGAGTTTTTAACATCAACACAGTTTAAAAAAAATAAAATTAGCAGGTAAGTTGACGGACCACTTGATGGTAAGTGGTAACTATTTGTTGAAAGTATAATGCAGGCTATTGTAATATTAATTGTTTGTACATTTTTTTATTATAGAATATATCACTACTATATCTCAGGAATTTTTCTTATGTTAACGTGTAAACATTATAGTTTTAATATATTTTAATGTTTTATTTATTGCCGAATTCTCTTATTTCCAAAAGGTTACGATCTAAAACGCGTAAAAATACTGTTAAAAATATATGTGTGATATTCGAAAATAGGTATGTCTTCAAGTTCGACAATTGCAATGGAAAAACTGAAAGCTTCCATTAATTATCGCGATTGGACATTTCAAATGCAGAATATAAATAACTATTGCTTACAACCACATCATCATGTAACGCTTATGGTACTCATACACTACATATTTAATACCAGCTGCTGACTTTCACCACCGTACCACCCGCCAGAAACTAAGATACCATCCTGATCATCTGGATAATTGGCGGTCTTCCCCAGTGTGGTTTTCTAGAAACTTTTTGCCACGCACAACCACATTGTGGAATCGCCTTCCAGCAATGGTATTTCCGAACCGATATGATATTGAAACCTTTAAGAAAAGAGCTTATTCCTTTTTAAAAACCGACAACGTATTTACATTTACCCTGGTGTTGCGAGTGCTCATGGGCGGCGGTAATCACTTACCATCAGGTGAGCCGCATCGTTTGTTCCCTGTATTATAAAAAAAACATTCCTATGAATACGATACTATATATTTGTAATCTGTAATTTCGCTACCATATCTCATTCTTCAAGTGATACATCTTATAAAGCAAGCTAAAGACCGGCTGAAATAGCTGAGATAAAGATGACTTTGAAAACGACTTTGAATAAAGTCAGTCTTTGTATAAACAGCACTGATGGAGAACGTCCGTTATTATTATTTTTGACAATTTACCTACACGAGGGACGTTTAACAAAGCAATTTAGGGTGATTCTCCCCACCGACCGATCGAATACTTGTCTATGTTAGGTCTATATGAATATGTCACTATTAGGGTCGGATGTAGACGCTTTTAATATCATTCAATACATGCAAGAGAACCATCTGTATTGCCTATATATTGAGTCATTAAAATTATGACTGGATGAGAAAGTTCTAGATCATTAATGAATAGACGGGGGAAAATGTTGGGGCACTTGATACGTCACGATGGACTAATTACAACATTATTGAAGGAAAAATAGATGGAAAGAGAGGAAGGCGAAGACCAAGACGCAGCTATATCAAGCAAGTTAAAGAAAAAGTTGGAGTCGTGTCGTATCAACAGCTAAAAAGACTGATGATCCCTTACTTCTTACTCCCTTTCTTACCATATCATTTTTCGTATAGTCCATCCATCTCTTTCGGGCTTCATCTGCCTTTATAACCATATAACATTCATATATAATACCTTCCGTAAAATATTATCCTATGTATGTTGATAGAAAATAAAACATTGTAAAACTATACACTGTAAGTCAATTACGCTATGCCAATGTTGCTAAAACATTTGTGGGAGCGGTAGTTGGTACGCTGACAGCTGTAAATTGGCAAAGTTTGTTCACACCTACAAACGAAACACATTTTTTTGCATAAAACCTTTTTCATAAAACCTGGTTACAATCAGAAGTATATACTTCAACGATGGAAAATAGAAAATTAAAAATATATACAAAACTGTGTAGGTGATCCCGCTTTAGAATTAGATTTGCCATCTTTCTTCCAAAAGTTAAAGAACGCGAAGGGAAGAAATCTCGAATCCTTTATAACTACAAAATACTGAAACTCAATAAACAAGGACCTTTAACGGAAAGATTCAGTATCTATTTCTTGAAAATTAGCTGTAAACTCTATACAATTTATAGTAGGTACATATTATTGCCTTGCCTTTATCCCATTATTTGGGGTCGGCGCAGTACATCATCTTCTTCCACTGATCCCTATGAAACGTCATTTCTGAGCTTACTATCCTTTTAAAAATATCATCTTTCACATAATCCAATATATAATCTTTAAATAAATCAAAATATCATCTTTTTAGGTCTTTTTTATAGTAGTTACACATATCGTTATTGCTTTTTTGTTTTGAGTAATTGAGAAATGTGACAGCTTAACAGATTTTGTATTGATTGCCGCATGCATTCTTATAATAATAACAATATGTGTAATAATGATTATAGTATGTGGTTGAATGTCTTAGGTAATAACTACTCAGTCATGTTTACTAAAATGCATCATGACATTGGCGACGTTGTCATTGGGCTCCATAAAATATGCTCGAGCGCAATGATGGCTGGCTCATCCGTCATACTCGTGAACTAGTGCTGCTTGTAGGGACTGATCTGCTTAAACTGATTTACTCGAATTTTAGCAGTGACATAATGTTATATTGAGACTTAAATATTGTATATGTTTCTTCTTTTTTTGTATATATACTTTTTATATACAATCGATTTGTTTACATAAAAATTTTAAATTAGTATAAAAAGTGAAGTTATATGTATAGTAGATATAGAACCTTAGCTAAGTCCATTTTTGTAACTGTTTTTTTTTTGCACTATAAACTTATTATTTAGTAACTCAACCAGTTGGTGAAATACTGATGCAATTTAAAATTTTGACTCTAATGAGTTAGTGCTAGTTAGTAGTTTGAATTCACACGTTTCTATAATTTGTTACTTAATCCTTTGTTTTGTTCAAACTGAAACGGCAAACAAACTGACGGCTCAACTTTTGAAGTCGAGTTTCGCCTATAATATATATATATATATATATATATATATATATATAAGTATACATGGACAGAATCTACGGATAATCACTTCGTCATAGCCGTCAAGCGTTGCCATTCCTGACAACAACATATCATGTCTCTACGCTTTGTAATTTCAAATAGAAACAGCTTGGCCACATACCGTTTCTCCCCAAACAAATAGACCCTTATTTCTACTATTATACTACAAGTTAGTGTAGTCTATTGCAGGTATGTTTTTACGCGACCTACGGCCTGCTGGAGGAGTCACTGTGTTCACTCCCAGAACGACTTTGAACAAAGTGTAACTCGGTAAGTCTCGTATTCATAATCATGTTTTAATAAAAACAAACACTGTTTTAACATAGTTCTACATAGTATAGTGATTAGTTTGATTCAGACTACTTCAATCATCTAGAGGTTTAGCACAGCACTTTACTTCTGATAGTTGCGGGTTCGATTCCTAGCACGGTATAAACATTTGTAATTATAAAGGATGATTTATTGTATTGATCTGATTGTATCCTATATATAATTGTATATTACTAGCCACTTGCCCCGGCTTAGCACGGGTGTACATGTATTATATATAAACATTCCTCTTGAATCACTCTATCTATTAAAAAAACCGCTTCAAAATTCGTTGCGTTGTTTTAAAGATTTAAGCATACATAGGGACGGACAGACAGTGACAACGGCTTTGTCTTATACTATGTATAATGATAATTATATTTGTAATTACAAAAAAAAAACAGTAAAAACGTATTTAAGTATTTCTATCAGATGTTTAGTAGTATAAGTTCTGCTTAGCTTAGGCCTAGATGGCGTTGTGTGAATTGTACAATTCAATTTAGATATAGCTTTATTATAAAAAGGGAACACAAAAAAGTTTAGTATCAAAATATCATATTTTTATCTTGTTAAATAATATTAAACAGTATACCATTATATTATTCTCCCTAAAAAATGTTTATACATACAGCGATTCTCATGAAAGAACCCAAATTACTTTATTTATATTACGTCATAGCCATACGGCTTTTGCGGTGACTCAAAGAAAATCATTTCGCGAGTAGACCATAGTCGAGTATATTACTTATCTGCCATTATTCTTACACGATATTCATATAAATTTCGTAAAGACGTCGCTTTCATGTTGCTAAAATGTATAAAGAAAAATGTGAATAGGTAGTCACATTGTTATATCAATAACTAATGCATGGAGTTTTTCAAGAAGGGTATATTAAGGGTCGGAAACGCGCACGTGACACCCCTGGTGTTTCAGGCGTCCATAGGCTACGGTAACCATTTACCATCAGATGGGCCGTATGGCTTGTTTGCCACCATAGTAGTATAAAAAAAAATCAATCATCAATTTTTTAATTATGGTAAATTAAGTTTAATTATATGTACATTTTATTTGCTCTTTTTTTTTCGTTTGTATATTGTATTTTTTACATTGCACTGAATAAAATATTTTTCTTTCTTTCTTTCTTTCTTTCTTTCTTTCTTTCTTTCTTTCTTTCTTTCAATGAAAAATAAAGTATGAGTGTACATTGTAGACACGGACTGTTATTCAAAGTTGTAACTTTGAATAAACTAAAAGCTCCATAGGAAAGTTCTGTATAAAAAAAAAATCTTTGAGCAACTGAACGTTTCATTAGAGAATCATATATATATAATAATTAAATTAATATTTGTTTTATACAATATTTAATTTTTATATTGTAAGCTATATACTATCAATATATAATTTAAAAAATAATATACTCCTTTTGGTTCATGTTAAGAGGATAATAAGAAATAATATGTTAGAAATAATACCAATAAAATGCTTATCTGCCATTATTCTTACACGATATTCATATAAATTTCGTAAAAACGTCACTTTCATGTTGCTAAAATGTATATAGTAAAAATGTGAATAGGTAGTTACAGTATTATTCATGACAAAGATAGTAAGATACATTTTAGACGGATGTTCCCGTCTTTCCACTTCTTCTTAGTGTAACTAAATGGGATTACCTTAGAATATATTTGTTTAATACAATATTTAATTTTTATATTCTAAGCTATGTACTACCAATACATAATAAAAACATAATATACATCTTTTGGTTAGCTGTGAGAGCATAGTAAGATAAAATATGTTAGAATTA